CTCTTCTGTATGGAACTTAGTCCATATGGCTTGGCATCTCTGTGGTCTGCTGTAATGCTCTACGGGATCCAGCTCGAATTCCAACACCCAAGCGCTCTCCTCCGGACCCCATTCCGGCATCACTGGCCTGTGCAGATTCTATATGGGGCCTCCCGGTCTGCTGGGGCTCGGTTTGCACACTTTGTGGGTGCTTTCCATCAGTGAGTCCCCGCTGGACCACTCAACATCACCAGGTGTTGTGACATGCATTTGTGATCCAACCCGAAGTTCAGGTGTCCCGGCCGATGGGCCTGCGATCTTGGCCAGTAGGCCTACTGATATGCCTCTCTTAGGCTGCTTCTGAATCTCACCGGCTGGTGAAGGACTCTTCCTCTTTGCCCCAGACTGGCCGACCATCTTCTACTCTCCCGTCGATTCTGGAATCATCGGCATCTTCGGTCCTGTTGGACTGGTGGCTCTCTTGGGCTGCTTGGACTACCGCGCGATTTGCTCCTCTGCCTCATGTGCATGCTCTTTTCGCTTCAACAGATGGTTGCTCAATGCGATCACCTGCTCCTCCACAGAGGCTCGAGTAGCATTGGCCTCCCAGCTTTGCTCCTTGGCCTTTTTCAAGATCACTTCATGCCGGCGCGCCTCCTTATGTGCGGAGGCCGCTGTGATCTCCAACCTCTTGATCCAGGCCACTGCGTCCCAATTGCGAGCTTCCTATGCCTTGGCGGCTGCCAACTCCGCTATCTTCTCCAGGAGTGCTATTATTCCTGGGGCTTGAAGTAAAGCGGACATTGCTCCTAGCTCCGCCGATGCTTTGATAAGGCCCTATCGAAGCCCTGGGGCTTTAGCTGCTTCTGCCATGGACTGGTCCTGCACTTCAGCCTGCACATGGCTAGCAGATGCCCTTGTTGTGTCCTCATGGAATGCTTCTTCTGCAACCTGGCCCTCTCGGGTTGCTTCCCTTTCACCGGCGCCCACTGCCGGGGCCCCATCTCGGGGTGCGGATTCGACCGTCTCCACGGTCTGGCCCTCTTAAGTTGCTTTTTTGGATTCCTCAGCCTCCATAGAGGAGGAAGCCAGGACGAAGTCCTCTTTCGCTATCCTCACCTTCGCGCTCTGTCAAAGCGGGCGAGCCACCCCCAAGAGGCTCCGAAACCAAATAATATGACAAGATCGTGGGTGTGGGGTTCCTGCCCTCTTTGAGCCATGGACCCACCTCGCTGGGTACTTAGGTCCTTATGGGGACCTAGGCAGGACCACCCTGACCTACTCTCATATCATATAACAATATATTCTGGTTGGAGAGTTGTTACTGTATTTTGGGCAGGGCGTTCCCCACACCTAGAGGCCGTTAGTAGGGCATTCCCCACATCAGGCCAAGTGCGTAACAATGAGACAAACTGAGCAGCATGCACTGAGTAGCACTGCTGCTAGTGTGTTGATGGTAACTTTGCCTTTCCAATCGGTGCTGCTCCAAGTTTGATAAGAATTGTATAGGTGCCTTCCTAGAGTGCACCCTAGCACGCTTACTAAATTTCTTTAGGCTCTTGGAGCCTTTGGTGGCAGGCCTGCCTCTTATCATATGCATGAGTGTGCTTTTCATCCAGCATTATCTTGGATGAATCATACAAGGCTCTACGCATCCCATGTTATGTACAGTTTTGCACCACATTTTTAGCAATCCTAAGCAGATGCCCATGCCAATTTCTGACTCATGTATGATGTGCTGACACCCAATCAGTTGGCATATACTTCCTCCGTTTGGAATTAAATAAAACAATTTGTTGTCTGACCACATTTTTATCATGTACTTCTTATTTTTCCTTCAAAATTGGACTAGCTCATTTAATATGTGTTAAGTAAATGCTATCCAAAATTTATCGATAGAAAATAAGATTCAGACATACGGTAGTACTTTGAAACCAAACGACTGAGCACCAGAACTTGAACATTCGAAGTCAGTCCCCCACCCCACCAAAACCCAGCGCTTGGGACCCAGGAAGGCCCGGCGCATAGGTGATGCCCTTTCCAGTGGTCTTCAAAGTATCAAAATGGGGGAGTTGCCTTGGCGCTTGGGCTCTGGCCCAAAGATCGACACCCTTCGCAACGCACGATCGACAGAATTGGCACTTGTGTCGGTGTACCGCCATCGATGGATGCTCACCCATCTTCCACAGTAGCACACCAACATGCCTGGGATCCCCCAATGCCTAGACGTCTCCTAGTGGCTAAAGACTAGACGCAGGATATTTGCACTCAACATAAGATCTGTGTTTAGCACAGATCTCCGATTAAATGCCTTCCTGATGCAAGCAACCCCTCTTTCCGAACGGGCTTCAACCCTGCCAAACATAATAATGGAAGGTTTGGATGCTCTATTGGAGACGCCACGCATCGCTATGGTGGCGCTCTTGCATCTTGCAATGGCACGGGCGAAGCTTAGTTGCAGTGGTACCCTTGAAAGCGGCGTGAATGGTGCACAAAATCTTTCTTGCGGCACGTGCCCACCACAGCCAGTTTCAACGATCTTCTGGCTACCACGCAGCGAGGGCATGATCAGATTGTCCCAAACCTTTCGTGGTGGTCTTAGCACCCATTGTGTCCTCGCCCATGGCGAGGGCCCTTTACGCAAATGCCGTGATTGTGAGGTTCGCAGATTGCTGCATCTCCGATCCGGAGCTGCTGTCCTCATAAGGCCATCAAAACCACGGTGGCGATCAAGGATCGAGCACTACAGAACACGGTTTCGTGGTCTTCCCCCTTTGCTAGGAACGGTGTCGACCTGCCACCAAGACGGCAGCAACAGATATCCATTCCAGGTTGCGCATCGTCAGTCACAAGGCGACCTGGTCAAGGACCTGTTTTGAGGGCTGTTCGGCCAGACCTTGAGAAACATCGACTTTTGGCCTGAATCACAAGGGTTCAAAGTACTGCCATGTGGCCGGTGCTTATCCACTGTCCACAAAAATTTGGCTGTATATAGCAAATGTGTAGGTAGTGCCTTGGTCCAATTTTGAAGGAAAACTAACAAGTTTACGATACAAATATAGCCTCTTAAACAAACTGTTTTATTTATTTCCGGACGGAGGAAGTATCAGTTATGAGCCAGTCATGATTGGCGTCATTGATCAATGGGTGACATGGCACAATGGCTGCCCACAAATTAGCAAAAGTATTGAAACCCAGCACCAATGCCATTGGTACTGGATTTCAGTACTTCTGTTAATCGATGTTGCAACAAAAAAGACGCTTTGAAGTACAACATGGCAGCAAAACGTTTGTGCTCTGCGAAGAATGTGAACACAGACCTCTGCCACACGTTCCACCTTTCAAAACGCCGGCGCAAGCACGCGTGCAACACTTTTGGGATTGCTTTCGAAACCGAAACGCAGCATTGATAAGTCGCTGACTGGTTGCCACCGGGGAAGCGGTTCTGGTGGTGGTGACGTGGGAATGAGCTGGAGGCAACATAGTTACAAACAGATCCCAAAAAGCGACGTCCCTTTACGGCCAGGCCATCCAATTGTGTCACATCAACGCCCGGTCCACCTTCCGCTGACGCCGTGCCCCGAGCAAGACGAAAACGCAAAAACAGACGCGAAAAGCACCTGCGTTCTCGCCCCTGGCTGTCGGAGCCCCTCCCCCGCCGTTTGAGGCCGCGGCAGGGCACCCGACCCCAACTCCTCCGTTTGCGCGACTCGCATCCGCCTCCTTCACCCATCCACCCGCACTGATGTTACGGTGACCGCTACGTATGGCACGCAACCCCTGGCCACAACCGAAATGCGGGTCGTGGGAGCGTCCCCGAAACCCCCAGATCCCGGCCCAAATCCGCACCACCCTTTTGTACCGCCCCGTACCGCTCGCCCACGTCCTCACCCCCCTCCCCGCCTTCTGTGGCCACCCCTCGCACCGGGCCCACCCGTCACGCACTTTGTGGCCACGCGGCCGCGCAGATCCGCCAACTCGGCCCCGCGGGCACCAAATATCTCTGGGGCGCTCACGGCACCCCCCCCTCCGCTTTTACCCCCCAACGGAACGCCACTCCGCCTCTAATCCCGCCTGCCCGCCTGCCCGCCTTGCCCCGCGCCGCCCCCACCCCCAACACCTCCCACCCCTTTGCCCTTGGCGGACGCAACCTTAGGTCGCCCCCGGCCGCTCCTGAGGTCCCCATCTGCCGCCGGTGCGCGGTCGCTTCGGCCAGACGCCCATCCCGCGCCCACAGGCGGCCTGCAGTGCGAGGCTGAGGTAGGAGCCCATCCGGTGAACGGCATATGCGCCCGCCGCTCCTCCCACGGCGGTTGCGGCCTCAGATCGGCCTCAGGCATCCCTGCGGGCTGCCCCTCCCGCCGCTTTCCACCGTATCTGCCAGAGGCGCATCCTGCTGGCACAGACGGCCCGCAGCGTGCGGCGGAAGCGGAGCCTTGTCCGCGAATTGCATGATAGAATGGGCCCCTTTGCACTTGTCGGGCGCAGCCTTGGGTCGCCCCCAGGCACCCTCACTGGCTGCCGTACCCCTGGCTGTCGATCTTTTCCGCCAGAGGCGCATCGCAGGCGCCCGCTTGCGGCCCCGTTGCGAGCGTCTGATGTGGGGCCCCCGCCCGCCAACGGCATGCCCATGCGCCCAGGCGGCATTGCCCACTCTCGAACGCCCACGATCTGCGGCGCCCCGTTCGATTGATTCGGTCGGGTTGGAGATGCTGGGCGGTTCGGTAGGGTAAGGATAGGGATTGGCGCATCATGCCTCTGATGCCCGGTCGCCGGCCATCCCGTGGCTTGGCTCCACGCGCGTCGGTTGCCCGCCCCGGCGCTCTCGGACAGCTTCCGGAGGAGCCGCAGCTCCGGCGTGTCCCTTCGCCTGGCAGCCATGGCCATCGACCGTTGGTGTTTGTGGTGTGGGGAATCGGCGGGCAGTGGAATTGGGTTTGCCTGGTCCATGCCGCCGCTGAGTCGCTCCCTCCCCCTTCCGCCCGGGTGCAGGATTTACAGACGACAGTCCCGGTGCCCAGATGCTGTTCTTCTGGCTCCGATTCTTCGGCTACCGGCAAGACAAGCTCAGTGCGGCGGAGGATGAGGACGACGCCGCCCCGGCCACTATCGTGCCTGGGCGCTACTGCTCCCAGCCTCGCAAGAGCATCATGTATCACCCCGCGGAGATACGCATCGAGCACTCGCCGGCGCCGCTGTGAGTGCTCGCGCGGGGAGGGGACTCGGCGGGCGGCCGGCCTCCGCCGACATCTCGGAGGGCGCTGGGGGGGCGTGATCGTGGGAATTGCATCTGCCATGACGAGAAAATGTGACGAGGAAAGGCCTGGGGGCATGTAGGACTTGACGGGCGAAGCCCGCGGCTTCAGTTTCTTCTGCTCCTTAGGTGTCTTCCGTTTGATTCGGTTTGGTGTGCGCGGGGTAGGGCAGGGACGTCCGCGGCTTGATCCTGTTCGATTTGGGATGGACAGGGACGGAGACCTCGCCACGGCGAGGCGCGGGACACAGCGGCGCGCGGCGATCGACTTGGACCGCGGCGACAGCGTGTTGGGTTCCCTGAGGATATCCGTGGACGCCCTGCCCACGCGCCAGCACAACATGTCGGTGCCCCTGCACAGCTACACGGACTTCACGATTATGCACAAGGGCAGGTGAGGCTGCTATCGTTGTGCTGATCCTTTTTTTGATCGCATTTGTCGCGTGACAAAGCGAAAACCCTTGCACCAAACTGGCAATGTTGGGCAGTGGTCCAAAGTGCATGTGTTCGTCGAAATCCACAATGTCTATTCAAGGGCATGGCTTGTGCTGTTTTCGAACCTATGCTGCAAGGCTGGGACCCTGATGCAGTCAGAAGTCCCCCCAGGCCTTTCCTACACTGGGGCGTGTCGTTTGCTCTCGCTTTTTTGGGTTGGCCACTGTGAAATTCCTAGACTTGTAGGAACGTTTGACATTAGGGAGCGGATAGTCACTCTACCTTTTGGACAATCACCGTGTAAGCCTGCCTAGTTGTGCAGTAGACTGACAGGCATCTGTACCATCGCTAGCCCTTCTGAAGTAAATTCTTGCCCAGGTGGGTGTTGACTAAAGGAAGTTGTGTTTTCGGCAGTTTCCGATTGCTGATTGTAGCAAGTTTGTGTGTGTCTGCAGGTTGTCAAAGATCGTCAGTGCCAGCCACAAGTTCACAGGAGAAGAGGTGGCCATCAAAATGTATGACAGGACTGTGATGTCAGCGATCCAGTTGGAGGACATTGCAAGAGAGATAGACATCTTGGTTATGGCAAAAGGGTGCGTGTCGTGCGATCCTGCGGTTGCGCTGGCGTGTGTTCTATCATACCGCACATGCAGCCATCTGAATTTTGCCTGGCTCAACGTGCGGTGCACATTGAAGGTCTGGGAACACTCTCACGCTTGAAATGCCTGCCATGTCCATGTTTAGGAGACACATCGCAGCTTCGAATGCAACATTGTGCAAAATAGGTCAAAATGATTGCAAACATCGTAGACATGGCCAATGAGAACAGGAACATGTTCTCAGGTGAAAATCCAGGGGGATGAACTTGCTTGCCCCTTTCCAGCAGAGCTCATTTTAAGCTGCATCTGTGCAGCTAACATGCCCTGCGATTGACTGATGGCAAGCTTGCTGGGTTGGCTGCATTGCGACTGTGGGATAATGGATCTTGCTGACAGTGGCCTCTTCCCTCGTGCAGGGTCGATGGCATTGTGCAATATGAGAAAGCAGACAACGGCAAGTACCTCACAGCAATTGTGCTCAAGGGCTGCACTGGAGGCACACTTGCAAAACGCCTGGCCAATGCAGGAGGGAGGATGCCAGAGGTGATGTGCGTCCGTGACGTTGTGAAGCCCCTGGTTTCTGCATTGGCGTGGCTCCATGAGCACAACGTGGTGCACAGGTGATTGCCCCTCATTTGCCATCTTGTATTGGAATGGACCCCAGTGAGTGCTGTTCTGCCAAGATTGTGAGTTTCTTACGGAGCAGAAACTGATGTTGTCAGATGACCTGAGGTCAGTAGTGACACATGCCCTGAACACTGTCCATTTTTTTGTGTTACTGCAGTGGTTTCATTCTTTCATTCGGCCATATGGGCGTCGTCGAATCCGCTTGCACGTATTCAGCCTTCTCTTGACAGTGCGCTACTCTTTGGGCACTGCTACCACTGTACAGAAACCTTGATTATGGTCAGGGTGGGAGGCACATTGCCTGTGAAATGTGCATCAATGTTGTGGCCACCAGGCAGGAAACTGTGCTTCTCTGCACTTGCTGTCGATGTGGATGCACACTGCAGGCTTGTGTTTGATCAAGGAAAGAATTATCATGAACTGGCTTTTTAGGTACCCTGTGAGGCAGGGTGCTTGCATCAAAGGAACGAAAGGCTTGTTTAAAATTGGTGTGACAACATTCTTGGGATGTGGGACTGCCAGGATAAGACATGCATGCTAATGAAGCGGCTTATTGGCAGATCTGTTTCTCCCCGCAGCATGTCCATGGAGTCAGCAGGGATCCCTTGGTTTCTTGTTTGTCATTTTCCATGACTGTCGTTCCCTGTTGTTGTGCTGTTGACATGGAATAGCCCTGTTGTAGTACCAACGCCAGAGAAAGGTCGTATCTTCATCCCATTCTTGTAAACTCGTGTACAACACAACAAAGCAGCAATTTTTGCTGTTTGAATGTCTCACTTGGAGCAATGGTGCTGTGCAGGAATCTGAAACCCCAGCACATCTTGTTTGATGATGAGGACGAGTTGCGGATCTGCGACTTCTTCATCGCTGCAGTGATGGGCAAGACTGCCCTGGTGGGTCGCGAGGGCAGCCTGGCATACATGGCCCCCGAGATGGTCACCAAGCCCACAGATGATGAGATTTTCCATGAGGTTATCGACAATGGCATCTCGGAGACTGACCTCCCATCCTACAACGAGAAGGTGGACATATGGTCCCTGGGGGTTATCACTGTCGAGCTCCTGACAGGCCACAAGCCCTTCATCGCCAACACCCCCGGCGAGATGGCTGCGGTGCAGAAGCAGGAGCTGCAGGGCGACAGGTGGGGTGGCGTCCTGGACTTCATCCGCGATCAGGAATTCCTGTCACTATCGGGCCAAGACTTCCTGTCCTCAATCTTGAGGATCGATCCCAGAGACCGGCCCTCAGCAAGGGCGCTGATGGCACACCCATGGCTGGACACGGTTCACAGTGACCTAGAAGCCTGAGGGCAAGGCCTTCAACTTGGTGGATGATCAGAGAGGACAGTCCTGGGACTGCCACCCGGGTCTGCCATCTCGTTTTTTGGTTAGCGCGATGTCTGGCTGCAGGCCACTGTTGACATATACGTGCTCGTGGTCAGCTGCATCTTGTTCCTTATGGGTGTCTGTTGTCGGTTTTACATTTGCCTGGCACCAATCTTCATTCTTTCATCTGCTGCTGTAGTTGCTGTGGCCCGTGGCGGCCTGGGATTGGTCTGAGATTTGTACGTTGTGGCGGCAATACCTTCTTTCTGTTCAACAGTGTTGTCTTGGAGTGAGAGGGTCAGGTTGCTCCCTAGGAATGTGTGTGTGGTGGGAGATCGACTTTCGGTGGTGCTTCAACGGCCTCCATGGGGGGAACTACATTTCTGTACCAGGTATGACCATTCTTTACATTGGATTCTTTGGGGTTGATGTGGTTTCCAGATGGGCCTTCTGGGATGCCATGGGGGTGACCGCTGCACAGGGTTGTGCCTAATTTTGCATTTGTTGCATCTATAATCGAAGGGCGATTGGTTCCCGGGATTGGACTTTGAGAGTGGGATAGAGGGCGCAGCGACTCCTTGGTGCCCTGCCTGTGTCACGATGCCTTCAAATCTGCTGTCCCCACTGCCACCCACTGTTTGTAGGTGCGGGGCGGTGCCTTGAGGGAGTGGAAGTGCAGACTGGCTGCATCGTGCATGGACACCCAGCCTTTGTTGCTGCCCAGGCGACCAGTCCCTTGTTTGGCTGCTCCCTGTAAGGCTCGACTGGGCCGTGAGGCGCAGGGAGCATCAAGGGGGCGGATTTGTGAGCTTGGTGCGTTTGGAACCGCATGTAATTGCTAACTGTGCAAGGTGGTGGGCAGCTTTGGGCTTCCACCGCGTGTGCTGCGGCTGGAGCTGCATCGTAGCCTTGCTGTGCTGTTCGTGATGCTTGCTGTGTGTTGTGTTATTCGATCTAATGCAATCTTGGAGGAGAGGGCGGGGAATAGGAGTACAGTAATATATTCAACCCTTTCGCATAGTAACGTAACACCTGGCCCTTTTTTGCGGAAGAAACAATAAAATAGATAAAGCTCTTTCAAAAGAATTTGCGGAGCAATGCAAGAAGATAAAAACAACGCTCTGAAAAAAATATGGAGCACAAAGCGTAACGTAAATTTTGAGATGCGGAAGGGTCTAATGTTAGAAGCTGGGAACCCTACTTGGAGCGTGCCGGAAATGAATTTTTTAGAGTCTGACTCTGCAAATGCATTGTACAAGAGGCTCTCAGATACCTGCCAGTGGCTGTTGCATCAGCGTTCTTGTGCAAGATTCGAACCCTATGACATGGGGGTTACGAGAGTGGCGGGGCTTTGTGAGTCGGGTGCTGGGGGCATGCATCCCCGAGGTGGACCGGTGGCTGCGCTCGAGGGCGGCCGACGGGAGGCGCGCGGCTATCGGTGTCGTGGCTGCGGTACCCCGCGTCCGCTTGCGTTCGAGGCGCGCATTCCCGGCGCGATCCTTCGTCGTCGCGGCGGCAATGAAGACTATCGCCGGCGCCGATCGCCACAACGGCGATGACCCGCGCCCAAATGCACGGCCTGGCGTTGCCATCCCAGCTAGGGTTCCCGCCGGGCCACGGAGCGACACGAGAGCCTTGCAGCGCTCCGTTGTGGCAGCCATTGGCACGGCGACCGCTGCACGGGATGCAATCAGCGCCCCCTCGGGCCAAGCGTTCGGGGCCCACGGGCCCTGATTTGAATTTTCGGAAACCGGAGGCGGGTGTGCGGCTCCCGCCCGCGCCAGGGCATGTGCTTGATTGCGGCCACGGGTTGGGGCGTGGACCTCCACCATCGCGTCCGCAGCGCGCGCTGGGTGACAATCCCGTGTCAAGGGTGTCGAATGTGCTCTTGGGTCGATTAGGGCAATGCGGCTGCGGCGATGGCTCGTGAATCAAGCGCGCAGGTTGAAACGGGCTCGCCTTTAGGGTTTCCCCGGCTCGCAGAGAGATCGCCAACTCTCACGACGGCGCTGCGCAGCTCTGGCAGCGGCGACGGCGGCAAAAGACACGGCAGTCAAAAGCGTGCTGAGCAAATCGTCGTGGAATGAAGAACATCAACAGCGCGACCTGGCCGATGAGTGAATGGGCTTTCAATGGATAAAGTACGTAGGAACGAAAAAGTGCAGGAAGTCGGGCCGAAGGCCAAATTTGTGGACTAGTTGATTGAATATACTACGGTTTTACCTACACTTACAAGTGTCTTGACAACATCTCGGATATTTTTACAGAGTTTTGCGAGGGAATGGGAAACAAGGAAATGGCTACTTCGTCGTGTGGGTGGACGCATATGCACGAGGAGAACATGCGCTGAACTGCAGCGGTTCCACTGCGACCACGCAGTAGTTGCCTTGTTGGTAATATCAGCATAGTCGAAATGCCCGGGGCCATGGAGCTTCCTGCGTTTCTGGGAATATTCATGCGTGTACAATATCCTTAAAATCACAATAAAGTAGGTGAATCAAGGGATGCTAAATCGCTGTATCTGGTACAACAGAAGTGCTCCAACTTCGCATTTCCCATGATGAATTTCATAATTGCATGCAAGGGTAAAGATAGTGTTGATTTAATTGCAATCAATGGCGGAAATTCCTGCATCCCGTATCTCGAATGAATTAGGACGTATGCCAATCTTGAAGAATGAATCCGAAAAACGAACGATGTTCATTTGCGAGTCACGCCACCAGCATTGGGAATCCTTCAAGTGATTTCCGGAGACTGAAAATTGATCGGCAACCCCAAAATACACACAAGCCAAACACCAGCGAACATCAATTGTACACCAAGTTCAAAATCCACCCCAACGCGACGCAAAAACAAGCAAAATAGAGAAGCAAGCTGCAAGGAAGAGGCATTCACAACCGTCTTTCCGCGCCCAGCTGTCGTCGCCTTCTCCCAGCAAGCCACCTGGGCTACCTGTGTCGCTAGGAGCGGCACCGTCGAACGCCATGCAATTCACAGTGTAATTCGTCGCCTCAAACCTCGCAATGCCGAGAACATCGCACTGTCCATTTGTGCTCATAACCACGCTGTACGACGGAATGTCGACTATCAGTTTGTGGAATGTGACCGATTTTCCGTCGTCAGTTGTTTGAACCTGGAGCGCGTGCACCTTGAGTGGCTCCGATCCCCTATCGCTATTTGCAGTTTCGTTTACCCGAGATTGCTCGAGAGACTCTAGAAGGCGCTGTATTGACACTTCCCCAGAGCATTTTGAGTAGGTGACGGTTGCGTTGGCCAGGGACAACCGCGAATCGATGTCTACCCTCCAGGTAGCAGGAAAGTATAGGGGAACCTGCGTGCGCATCAAAATTCGATGAGATACTGTATATCATACGATGCCTTTGAAATGCGTTTAGAGTGCGTGAAATTACGTTTGAATTGCGTTTAAAATGTGTTAAATTTTCTCTCTCCAATTCATGCATTTGACTACATCTTGGTAAAAAAACATTTACAATGATGCATCAAGTAAAATTTATCATTTAAATGCAATTAAATTACGATGATTCCCATGAAAAATGACTTCTGTATTGCGCAAGCGCTCGGCCTCGACCGCAGAAGCCCAAATCATAGTTGAGGATTGGATTAAAAGCAGGAAACCACACTCCACGGCCGCACATTGGAGAATGTAAGGACGCGCAAACAAGCAAAAATATTGCGTCAAAAATTTCCGTTACATGCGCACGTGATTCAATGCGCTATGGTCGCTTTGCTCACAACGATTAATTAGCTGTATAATACTTCCACCGTCCCATATGAATTGTCGTCTACGATTTTGTTGCATTTTACTTCGCCATCGTGCCTACGTAAGTTACCAATGAAATTTACTCGGAAGTTTTGCTTGTGAGGTTGGAGTATGCTATCGAAATTTCAAGTATTGAGGATTTTTCAGTACTTTGTAGCTAGGGTCCTCCGGCGAGAAAAGGGTCGTTTTTGGACGTTGCGCTAAAAACAAACATTGTTGGTTGTTTTGAGGAGCACGCCATCGCGGCTGTGAAACAAACCCGTCGTTGCAAAACTATCCACGCTGTTCCGATAGAAGGTCACCAGGGTGCTTGCAAAAGAAACGGCAATAGAAAAGGAGTTTCGAATGTGTTGATCATCAAATTCGCCGTGGCTGGCAGTACGAATTCAGGGTTGATTTGCCGCATTGATTGGAGCAATGTTCCAGACCCTTTTTTTTTTGTCCAGAGCTTTTCGAGCTTCCTTGCCGCCGTCAAGGCAATTGCGGCAGGTCTCCCAATCCTTTCAACAAGAAGCCAGAGATGGTGATGGCTATCACCTGGATATAGCTTGAACAATTAGTGAATTGGGCACTGCCACAGGAATGGCGATTTGTCCTTGTTTCAGAGCTTCGAAGGATTGGGTGCAAGGATGATGGCTACAAAGGTGAGTTCGGATCTTTTGGAATAATGGAGAGTCGCTATGCTCCAATAGATTGTGTACCATGCACAAGCGTTGGCCACAGTGTCCACAAACAGTGGCTGTTTGTGGACTTGCAGCTTAGGGGCCCACGCAAGCCCCAATTCAAGCATCAGCTGGGGCGAATTGCCCGAGCAAGTCTACTACACAGCCTCGGGGAGATAGCGCTCACTGGGCGTAGGCGTCAAGGTTTTAGACGTTGGCCTTTGCCGCTGGTTGGAGATCGATCGGAGATCGAGCAAAGCGGCGATTTCGGGCATCGTCAATGCTGCGAAGATAATCCCCTAAGGTGAGGACGAGCGCACGTTCGAGTGTATTCGGCAAGTGTTATGCCACGTGCTGGACCCTATCTTTTGCCGCAACAGTGGCTATCACTGGCGTTGCAAATCTCAGACACGGAAGCGGCCGCAAACCAGGGGGGTCTGCAAGACCACGGAAATTGAACGGGCATTCTTTTGGATCATGTCAAGGCAGTTTTGGACGCCAACTCATAAGTGCGAGGACTATTTTTTTTTGAAAATTCGAATTCAAGGGTTCTGATACTCAGTATTTGCGATTCTGGTCTCCATTTGTAATTTGGATGTTGTTTTAATGGCGATGTCTCTAAAATTTATGATAATTAATATGGGGCGGAGGAAGTACAATATTATAGGCATCCTTTCTGTAATGAATGAACTGGATCGAATCAACCGATCCACTGTAATAAGGACGCTTCTTCCTTGCAACCTATACTTGATGCATTAATATATCGCATGACAATTTTCATGCTTTCCAGCATGCATTATGTCTTACAGAAATCTCTATTTTTATGTGATAATACGTCCCCATTTTGTTGGAGCCTCTCTTGATGGATTTCCTCCAGAGCGCTCGGACGGAAAGGGAGAGATAAGACCAAAAAATTTTGCCACCAGTGCCTTTCCCTAATTAATTACATTTATATGGACTTCGTTCTTTATTAGGAGTATGGAATACCGCATCACTGAGGCGTTCTATGAGCGTTGTGACTCACAGCTTGTGAGTAATCTGCCTGTGCGTGATGGTGATTGGGGTTTGGGGTGGTGGGGTGGGGGCCGGGGATGTGATGTGTGGCAATGTGTGTGTATGTGGGCAGGGTGGGGTGGGGCGGGGCGGGGTGAGATTTTGGGAAAAGTGCACTTCCCATTTTACACACAATGTTATTATGCGCCAAAATATGGGAGCCAAAATTTCAACACGTGGTTGCGGATATTTTCGCATTGGGCCATATTCCCGATGTCCCGGTTTCCATGCTCACCTGTTGATGATAATCGTCACTCATAAGAAATAGATTATTCTCGGGGATGCCCGTCCTGGGGTCGTTCAGCGGGTTTCTCGGAACAAAGAGGGGCATTTCAATGTCCAGGCTGTTGAGCTCCATGGTTTTGTATCTTTTCACGCGCACCACGAGCTTCCCTGAAGTGCTGTCATCGAAAACAATCTTCTTGCGGGAGAGACCGCTTTCTCCATTTGTGCTGCCGTTGAGCTGGAACAGACGGTGGATGACATCGACTTCAGGCGGCCAGTTGTCGGCCTTCAACTCGATATTTCCGTTCAGGAGAACATAAGCCTCGACAGTCTGCAGATCCGATTCTAGCTGCCTTGCAGCGGTTTGCAAGGAGTACGATCCGCCCGTGGGATCGTCTCTTGTTATCACATTCAGAACTTCGTAGATGGTGGCGACCTGCAAGAGCGCCATGCGGGAAGCAATAAGCAACATAACATTGAAGGATCCTAAAATCTTGGTGCTTTCGGCGCTTGAGCGCAACGCATTTTGGCTATTTCAAACATGTGTTGATCTTGGGGCGGAAACTAAGGTCCAAGGGACGTTTTCATGGCCATGCGCCCATCGTGAAGACACCCAGTGCATAAAAGCGGCTGAAAAACAGTCGACATCAAATTAAGTTGACATCTGTTATCAGTTTCAAATGCTTCGAACGTCGCTTTAACCGTAAAAACAGTGTTTTTTTTCGAGATTATTATTTTTTCGCTAAATACCAAGAGAATTTCTTGACGTTTTGCGAGTGCGCATCAGGCCGGAAAAATGTGAAACGCGAAAAGAAACCGTCCGTGGAAGTACAAGTGCTTGCTGCTAGAGATGTGCAACAGGCGTCACAGGACCCTTTCGAACAACAATGTAAGGAGGGAGGGTGAGCAGCGGCGTTGCAGCAATCCATCCGGGCGCTGCCACCACGGGGTCGGGGACCAGTAGAACTCATCAACCGTGCATTTCAAATACTGGAAGAATTAGATTATGCTGCAGCTCGCGGCAGAAATGTAAGTAACATTCAGGAACACCGAGCTCCTGTTTTCGCGACCGGCAATAATTTAAAGCACGAGTGAAACACTGAAGGAGCAGCCCCCGCGGAAGATTGATGCGATGGTTTCAATGCCTTCTGATCTATGTTATCCTGACTGGACTTGGACAACAGCGGCTGGATATTGAATAGATCCAATCACCAGGAAAATAAAACCTGTTCAAAGAGCGCAGCCGCCGGCGGAATCGCAAATCCAACATGACGCGCTAACAGATCTTACTAATGCGACATCTTTTCCTTTTTTAATTGAATCCTGATTTGGTCTTCATGCTGTGCGGGGCATGTCCATTTCGGGGAATTCCCGCGTTTTGGATGTATTGATGGTGGGCTGCAGATATGTTCGTGCTACTGGAATCGGTGATTGAAGTGATGTATGGCGCTATGGTTGTTTGCTCAAACGCAGCCAGCTCCCACGCTCATCGCGCATCCAACTACTAGGTAGCTCCATTTGCGTTATGGGCGCACCTCGTAACTTTTCTTGACTATTTCAACGTCTTCCGACAATCCAAGCCGCCTTGCGGATATGAGTCCCCAGAGCTCGCAGATGAAGAGCGTATCGTAGTGGTATACCCATCCCTCCGTAAGAGAGTCCAGTTCGCTGTACAGTTTATACTCCTTGGGCCTGGCAGCCTCGTGCACTGTGAAATAATCTCCGTCGAGCCCCAAGCTGGCGTTGTACTTAAGTTCGCTGTTCGCGTCTCTCGCCGCTTGGGACGGGGTTCGTGCCGCCATCAGGTTTGGTATGCTGAGCTGGTCGCACGCGTATGAAGACTGGAGCAGGCTGCAGTTCCTGAAGGTGATTTTGCTCCCGGGATGACCTGTGAACAAGGGAAAGAACGCGGGATTTCCGGCCAAGTTTCTCTGCGGGTGAGTTTCGTCGAACATCACGTTGTCGAAGATGAGCTCCCCGCCAGGGAGCACGAGTCCCAGCTGCGTTTCCGACTTGGTGTTCAGGATGGTGGGCCAGGGTGCATCCTCGTGAGTCGTCACCGTGACCTGATATGTGGGGATCATGGGTTAATGAAGACGCAGTATTCCATTTTCGAACACAGCACGCAGCGTGAGCGATACCGTATTCGACTGCTTGAAATCATGTATCAGAAAGGGATATCGATAAGGGCAATGTTACCGCACAGTGTGGTGGGATTACTTTGGGGCATTCTTCCAGCAATTCACTACTGAAGACAAGCCACAGTTGGGCCACCAATGGCCTGCAATGCCTGGACACGCAATACGCGGTGGATCGCTGCAGCCTAATCCATTATATTTACCTCATTTACGCCTATTTTATACTTTGCATCTCTCATGATGATGTCATGTGATACGTGTGCCCATAAGACCTGCCCGTGGCCGGAAGTTGGTCAGTTGGGGTTCCAGGATTTCCCCCAAGCATATTCCCATTTTCGGTGTGAACCCGTGTACCCACATCGATGCGCAACCAGTTTTTTTTACATCCCCACACCCTGGGGCGACGCGCCATTTGCATTTCAAAAATGCCTGCATATGCAAAGAGTACGCGTTGATGCAGCGGCGTGCGTACATCACAATTGAAAGCGCTGCAGCAAGACCACTGCAGCGTTTTGTTTCAGTGCGTGCACACGGATAAACTCTTGTCAATGTAGGGAGGGACTTGGAGTCATGTCCATACATTCAAGAGCAGATTCATCCGTCCAATGAGGTCCATAATGCTGCAAGCCATCGCTCGACGCCACCACTACAAACAGTACAGCAAGCACGCAGTTCATCCAGCGTATATGAATGGGGTGCTGATAACCCCGATGAGCTGTTCGCTTGTCTGATATGCTCACCGGACAACCGCAATGAAAAAAACCACATTGGCACGCTTGCCCGGCGCTGGGCACGCACCTGCCTCTCTATGCTGGGTATGACCCAACCCCACTGGACCGCCGTGACGGTGATGTTGTTTTTGATGGCGATGCGCGTGGCGGCCGGCGTGTAGAGGGCGTCGCGCAGCTCCAGCATGCTGGTCACCTCCGCTGTGCCGGCGTCGGAGATGTCCAAGCACTGGGCGGCAGCCGTCAACGCCAGCACTGACACCAGGGTCAGTGCCGGGCTTCGCTGATTGGCCACCGCAGGGGCCGCCATTGCTTTCCCGCCTCCGGGCGGGCGGCCCGCCGTGCGGCACCTCAGGGCACCAGCATTTGGCCCGGCCGGCGGACTTTGACTCGGGGGCCGTTCTTTCCGTTGTGGTGGACTCTGCTATGAAAAATTTCGAGCAAATGTTCGCCCAGCGGCTTCAAGCCATTCATCATCATCATCATCATTATTTGCAGAGGGTTTAGTGAACGCTATGTAATCAAGGAATTCATCATCATCCCTTTTTACAGTACAAGGCAATGAGGTAGCCGTCAGCTTCCTATTTTGCCTGAGCAAAGCAGTGTCGGTGATCGGCTCATTGAAATCTAGTGAGAACTGCAAACTGAATCTATGATTTTATGAACTCTCGATGCCTAGAAGCGATAATCTATGATAATACATCAAACGAAGTGTCTTCGCAAGCTGGCGAGCTGGAACTGAAGCAGAAAGTGCTTTTGCATTGCGACTTAAATGTACACTGCAGTCCTCTCCCACCCAGGCACAAAAGACCAAAGGTCTGTGCCAGAAATGAAATTGTCTACAAACATCAGACATACAAACAAAGTGTTCAATCCCTGCTAACATCTGCATGCAATCAATCAAACTTGGTCCAGCTGAGCCTCTCCCATCTGAATTGCCTCCATCTTTCCAACAATGAGGGGCCCAGAGCCCCTGCCCCAAGCGTAGACAGGCTTCAGGACGAGCCTCCAAAGGCGGGAGGAGCTTGACCAGACAGTGGAGGGGAAGCAGGGCAGCCAAGGTAGATTGAGCCTGGACGGGGCTACAGATCGTCACCCGAATCGAAATAGGAGCTGGGTGAAGAAGGCGGAGGAGGGCCAGGGGAAGCAATGCTGGTTGAGGGAGCTGCAGCTTGAAAGAGATGGCTGAACTGCTGGGCCAGCTGCTCCCCCGTCCCTCGTAGCCAGCCAAACATTTGGAAATCGGAGGGGGTGGCGACGTGTGTGAAGTCAATGTACTTGGTCACACTGTCGGAAGAAACAGACCATCCACCCCAGTAGCAAACCCGCTGGAGGGGTGCGCCAACCGCAAAGGCGGCGGTGGCCCCCCCGCAACGAACATCATGGTGGGTGTAACGAACACCATCACCGAAAAGGTCATGGAAATGGATCCGGCTCGCCACGTCAAAACAAGTGCCAAGAAACCTGGCCGTAGGGGCCGGCTCGTCCGGCAGCTGCCAAAGAAGGGAAGACTCTGGCCTGTTGGCTTGAAGCCATGCCGCATGGCGGGTAGCCACCCACTGTCTGAACAAGGAAGGGAAGGCAGGGATGCCTGCCGTTTGAAAACTGCGGTGCCGGAACGATAGATTGGCGACCTGCTTGCCCTTGTATCTGCGTTCTGTAAACAAGATCGCCGGAGAAGGTCCCTCAAATACGGATACATCGCCTACCTCCGTCGCGAAGGAAGAATCAGCCCGGGACAAAAAGGCTGTGTCGAAAACCACCACCAAGGCTGCGCGGATCTCCTGTGGAGCATGCCTGCGGCACCCCTCCTCGGCCAGCTGGAGGACGATCGAAGTGGGGAGTGGCACAGCCTGCTTTTTGGAGATAAGGGGGCTGACCTTGAGACGCCACGACTTGAGAAGTTGCTCCACGACCGAGTCATGGGGGCGCAGGCCCGGGAACGCCAGCCACCGGTGCACCGTGGCAATTGCGCTGATGTACTGGGGCACGCTCTGTACTTGGATGCGGGTGCTGTCCCGCAGAGATTGTACGTAAGCCCAGACATCGGCTATTCAGTCGGTATGGGGCTCCACCTGCGCTTGGCCTCCGAGCAGAAGCGCCAGTATTTGCCGAACTTAGACCATATGGAGCGGCGGCCTGACGAAGCATTCGAGGAAAGGAGGGCCTCGACTATGCTCTGCTCATCGTCTTGATCGAGGAGGCCAGAGGCGGCGAGCGGCAGCGGTGTGCCTGGCTGGATCAATGGCATGAGGGGTGGGTCGCCAGTGCCTTGTCTATTCGAAAAGCCTCGATGTGCCACCGCGCTGCTCCCTGAGGCACCTGCGCCTCCCGGCCCGGTAGAAAGAGGGTCGGAGATCGAGGCAGAATCCAAGAATCGTTGGAAAGCGCCTTCAATGGTCAGTACCAAACCGCGCCCGGCCAATGCGGGGCAAGAACGGTGGCTTGGACGCGCTGAAGATCGTGAAGGAGCTGAACCACGCGAGGTAGCAGAGACCAGGGGGGATTGCACCAATTGTTCTCCTCGGGTCAGTTGTGCTGGGCGAATGCATCCACGCCCTCTGACCCTATGTCGCCCCACCTTGAGTTGAACCGTTCGAGTTGGCGGTTGAGGCATCTGGCGAAGCGGTCGATAGTGTGTGGGCCCCAGCGCAGATCTAGGCACCGAAACCATGTGGGGCATAGGCGCCAGTCCTCCTTGTCCGTCTCCCGGCTGAACGTGTCTACAATCGCATTCTCTGTTGTTGAAATCCATTGGGGCTGCACCATAATGCGACATGTGTCCAGCAGCCACCACAGTTTGCGCAGCTCGCGGTGCAGAGGTTGTGCCCTCGAGCGCCATTTTTCCAAAATGCAGCAGACTGTGTGGCTGTCCATTTGTAGATGCACTGTTCGGTTGGCCAAGTTCCGCAAGAAACACTTGTTCCCCAAACGGATCGCTTCCAGCTCTTTGTAGTTGATATGCCAAATCCTCTCCTGCGCCGTCTAGAAGCCTCGCGCTATCAGGGGCTGGGCCGAGGTTAGGCAATGGGGATCCTCCAAGGCGGTGCCCCATCCAAAATCCGAGGCGTCGGTTGCCATCGATACTAACGTTGGTTGGTGTAGAAAGGCTCTGCCCTGCCACCTTTCTGGAACTTGCATCCACCAACGGAGATCCGCCAATGCCTCACAACTGAGGCGCACTGGGGAGCTCCAGCTCTGTTTGTTCCGTAGACTGGAGAAGAGCTCGCGCAGGAAAAACTGGGCTGGGGCAATCGCCGGGGCCAAGGCGTTCGCCTTGCCGCAGAACTGGGCCACCTTCCTGGCCGTGACCAATCGTGCATTCAGGCTGCTGTTGACGATGATGTCCTTTGCCAACTGTTGGAGGACTCTCAAAGAGTCCGGCGGGCAAAGGAACATGGCCCGCCATGAGTCCACAACCAGGCCGAGGTGAACCTTCAAAGTCACTGGTTCCCAGATGGATTTGGAGTCTTTGATCTCCAATCCTAAGTCGCTTAGGAGCGCCCTCACTAGGACACCCCAGGCTCGCAAATTCCGCCTGTCGCTTTCTGCCCCTAGGAAGTCGTCCAAATAGGGCAGGATTTTGATGAAGTAGTTCGCCTCCCACAATTGGCGAAGGGAGGGGAAATTCAAGGGAGGACACGATATGCTGTCCTGCGGTGCCCTGAGGAAGGTGACTAAAGGCCGGAGTAGTTTTGTGAAGTAAAACGGACTCCCACACCACCCGAAGGAAAGGGTGGGTACCTCCCAATACTCGCCATTCACTTGAATTGTCACATATTTGATGAAGTCCGATTGTAGTCTCAGATGCATGTTGTTACGCGCACCAGCCTGATGTGGGAGACGTCCTACTAATGGCCCTTGGTGTGGGGGACGCCCTGCCCAAGGCACGTACTATTCCTCACCCACTGTAACCTTTATCCATATTAGGATACGGGAGTAGGAGGGGTGGTCCCGCCTAGGTGCCCGGTAAGGACCTAGGTGCCCGGCGAGGCGGGTCCGCGGCTCAAAGAGGGCAGGAACCCCACACCCACATCCTATTCGTAACATTTGGTTTCGGAGCCGCCTGAGGGTGGCGACCACGCTTCCACCTGGGAGCGCGCGAGAGTACAAGACGCCGAAGCCCTTCCCCGGCCTCCTCCATGGAGGCGGAGGAATCGGAGGAACAAGCCCGGGATGGGCAGGGGGAAGAACAAGCCCGGGATGGGCAGGCGATCGATACAGCCCGGGATGGGCAAGGAACTGAACAAGCCCGGGATGGGCCAGGAGGTGTAACAGTCCGGGAGGACATGGCTGGACCCTCCACAGCCATATCGGCACCCGCAGCAGAAGATGAGCCGATGGAAGAAGTGGATACCCCGCCGGCGGCGGAGAAGACACAGGAGCAAGACCAGGACGCTGAGGCGGCGGCGACGTTGCTGAAGATCTCTGGTATCAAAGAGCTCCTGCAGAAGATGGCGGATACCGCGGCCGAGAAGGCGAGAGCGAAGCGGGAGGAAGAGACCGCCGAGAGGATCGCCTCGCTGGAGATCGCCGTCAACAAGGCCAAGAAAGAAGCTCGAGAGAAAGAGCTGGCCATGAAGAAGGCGAAGCAGCAGAGCCGCGAGGCACAAGAAACCAAAACCTCCGCCGAAGACCAGGTCAAGGCGTTGAGTGACCGCCTCCTAAAGCAAAAGCAGCGGGCCCAGGAGGTAGAAGAGAGAAGCGCCCAATAGGTGGTGCC